GTGGTGCAGTTTTGGGTTGCGTTTTCGTCACGTGTGATATCTGACACCGCTATAGTGTTTGTGAATGGGAGCCATGAGAGTGGTGTGTTATTATGGAGCAGTCTGATAGCCCAGACAGGCAGTATACTCCACCCTGTGTGGTCCACTCATGCGATGGAGGCATGGATGTGCTCCATCTCTCAAGTGTCTAATTTGTCTCAGTTCAAACCTAAAAAAAAGAGTTTATCTTCATGCAAACAACGTTGAATATTGGTCAATTTTGGTTATTCACAAAAATACATAACCAATGCAATTCATCAGAATCAATTTAAATTGATCTCTTTATGTAAATTTCAGAATTGAAATATAATTTTGACATTTTTTTGCATAAAGTCAAGTCCTGATATCATAATGAAGATGAATACTTCAATAAATGAATCATGATTACTTAAATTTTTTTGAAAATAAGCAGGTAAGACTATTATGACTGTGTTATTAAATCTCTTAAAATTATTACATCTTTTTATGACAAGACACTTCAAGTTGTAAAATGTGATGCGACTCCCCAAAAAACTTGATGGTATTTTTGAATTAAATAATTGGTGATTGTGAAACAAAAATACCCTAATAAAAATAAAGACATTAAAGATATTTTGGGAAAAAATGATTAAATGTATAAACTCACACATATTCAAGGTGCAAGAAAAAACATGACTTAGTTACACCACATTCATTTTTTAGAGATATTAAATTCAAATTTTCTTGAAAAAACAAGTACGCAAGTTTTTCAAAAATGATATATAACCAACATGAATACAAAGAGAATAAAAAGAGTACATTTCAAAGACTTAGGAACATGTTTTTGTTTGCGTACATGTCACAAAGCATGTAGACTAGTTGTATAAAGCTGCAGTTGTGCTATTTTTAAAGTAAACTAACATTATCATCTGAAATCAAGCACTGAGAACTTTTGTTTTAGTAGCCTATATATCTACCTTGTCAGCTACACCAAAAACAGATTTTCTCATTTCACAAGCTAATCTGTTTCTGATTTCCTCATGCCTCTCAATTTTGACTCAAACAGATGTTTTTGAGCAGCGGAAAGGGAACGGATCTGGAGGGTTGCCCAGTATTTTAATACACTCTTTGACCTAGGGTCAAACAGTGACGTCTTCTTAGTTTGTCAAGCATGTAAACAATAAAACAACTTACTTTGTCAATAGTGGTATAAGGAAAAGAAGAAGAAGAAAAAAAAAAGAATTCCTCTCTATTGGTTTCTCTGTTTTTCTGAAATGGTCATCTGATTTCTTCACTAGACGTACACGGAGCTATTCCAGGGCACTATAATTGAGTTGTCACTGCCATTCAGAAACAAGAATAGCCTTTTCCCAGTCATGGGCTGTTGCAGAAAGAGGAATTTAAATGAATTCAAAATACAGCTCTCCCGTCATTTACTGTACCACTAAACTCAGGAAACTCACTTGGTATCTGGCTTGACCCCAATGTTTGTGTAGAACAATGTCTATAATGGAAACTGACATCCATCATCACTCTTGAAATGCTAAATGTGGCTTGTAGACACTCATGTAGCATCAAAACAATGTAGCATGAATTTCAAATAGCACAGACATGACATTTTTAAAGAGCTGCAAACAAATGAATGAAGAATAGGGGGGCCACTGTGCTGGAAGCTTTTAATATTGTGTGTGTGTGTGTGTGTGTGTGGATTGTAGTGAGCTCCATTACTGTGATTGCAATGGCGTATCCTCTCAATAATGCTCCCAGAACACCTTGTCTGCTACACCAGCCCAATTGGAATCACAGCAAGGGTTTATTAGCTCAGCCTGCGACACAGTTTGTTCACAAACACACAACAAAGGGACCAAGAGTGCGATAAACGCAGTTAATGCCACCGTTCTTAAAACAGCAGTAGTGTTTTTAATATTTCAGTGTACACTACAGAAGTCTGAACTCATCCTTATCCACCTTCTCACACATTCGCCATCAGAAAATTGCTACTAAACTGCACTTTAATTATGGAGTGCACAAAATACAGTCGATTTAGTGTAAATTGGCTAAAAATGATGCATGGCGCAAGCTGCTGTGGCAACGTGGCACATCTAGACAGCCCACTCAGCAAACCACCTTCAGACATGAGAGGAGAGAAAACAGAAAGAAAAGCTGCAACTCATTTAAAAACATATGACCGGAGTATAGCGTACATTCTTCCTTCTGGAGCCATGCAGCTGAAGAGTGTTAGAGTTAGACTGGGTTTTACTAGTTTACAGAACGATATTGGTTTTACTAGACTACATACGATGAGGCTGGGTTTTACAACACTGCACATTGTTACTGACTTGTTACAGACTTCTTAAATAAAGATTGGACTGGTCTTTTCTAGACTACAGACTAAGCTTTACTAGATTACAGAATGGGCTGGGCTTTACTAGTTGACAGAACAATACTGGTTTTACTAGACTACATCGTATGAAGCTGGGCTTTACAATGCTGCAGATTGTTACTGACTTGTTACAGACTCCCCTTAAATAAAAATTAGACTGATCTTTACTACACTATAGACTAGGCCAAGCTTTACTAGTCTACAGAATAGGCCTAGACTAGGCTTTACTAGTTTACAGAATGATATTGGTTTTACTGGACTACATGAAGCTGGGCTTTACAACACTGCAGACTGTTACTGACTTAGTTACTAGACTTCTGAACAACGTAGCAGCACCGCATCAAGTGGGTTCAACTGGATAGGCTAAAAAAGCATTAAAATGCAATGACACTTACATTGTCATTGCATTGTGTGCCACTGATAAGGCTACCTGACGCACACCTAAAATTCGAATGAAACGATTTTGGATTCAAATGTGGATTTATATTTTAAATACAATGAATATTCGAAATTTTATTTGTTTTTTGTTTTTTTTGATGGCCCTACTACAGAGTCAGACGATGCTAATCTTTGCTGGACTACAGAATAGACTGGGCTTTACTAGTTTACAGAACAATATTGGTTTTACTAGATTACATATGAGCCTGGGTTTTACAGCACTGCAGTTTTTTTACAATCAAAGCTGGACTCACATTTGATTACAAATAAGTTTGTCTTTTACTTGACTAAAGACAAGTCTTGGCTTTATTAATATGCTGGGTTTTCTAGATTACAGTCTATGCTGCTTTACCAGACTATGTACTAAACTGGGTTAAACTCCAAATATGCCCCGCAGAAGAAAGGTAATGCACATTGTTCCAGGAAATCCCATATAGCGGAAGCTGAATAAACAGAAGATTGAACTTCATTCAACGCATGAAAATAGCCAAAGAAGCTGGCATGGTGTTAAACGCAAACAAACATAGTTTCAAAAACGATGACAATATAGGCAATGGTTTATCAGAGTTCTTCAAATCTTCTCATGTATTTTCATTATAATAAGGTATACTTACAATGCAATGCTAATCGACATAGCCTTTATCATGTATGCGTAGAAAATAATATAATAATATGTTGCGTGCCTCATTCTGTGTAAGAAGCCACATCATCTCACAGAAGAATTTTATTTCAAACAATGTAATGAAGTTATGAAGTGAGTTTAGGGTAAAAACATATTAAATGTTGTCTTTTGTTGGACAAGAGGTTCATAAATGCTTCTCATGTTTGAAAGATGTTTGAGGCGTGTTGCTTTTTCAAATGCATGTTATAACTTATTGCAACTTGTTGCACTTAACTCTTTTGAACGTCAAACAAGTCACATAAGTAACAGTCGCGTGCGGTGTTCTGAGTGTGTTTAGGCTGTTGGTGTGCAGTTACTAGGGTGTTCAGAGTGTGTTTAGGCTGTTGCTATGCAGTTGCTAAGGTGTTCAGGGTGTGTTTAGACTGTTGCTAAGGTGTTCTGAGTGTGTTTAGACTGTTGCTAAGGTGTTCAGAGTGTGTTTAGACTGTTGCTAAGGTGTTCTGAGTGTGTTTAGGCTGTTGGTGTGCAGTTACTAGGGTGTTCAGAGTGTGTTTAGGCTGTTGCTATGCAGTTGCTAAGGTGTTCAGGGTGTGTTTAGACTGTTGCTAAGGTGTTCTGAGTGTGTTTAGACTGTTGCTAAGGTGTTCAGAGTGTGTTTAGACTGTTGCTACGGTGTTCTGAGTGTGTTTAGGCTGTTGGTGTGCAGTTACTAGGGTGTTCAGAGTGTGTTTAGGCTGTTGCTATGCAGTTGCTAAGGTGTTCAGGGTGTGTTTAGACTGTTGCTAAGGTGTTCTGAGTGTGTTTAGACTGTTGCTAAGGTGTTCAGAGTGTGTTTAGACTGTTGCTAAGGTGTTCTGAGTGTGTTTAGGCTGTTGCTAAGCAGTTGCTAAGGTGTTGCAAGTGTTATTTGAAATCGTGAGATTTAGTTCAGCTGTTTTCTGATCCAGAAGGTGAAAATGTTGCCTCTGATCACTTAGTAAGCACACATGATCTGTTCAATCATTGAAATGCTGCAGGACCACACACACTCAGCTTTAAAGGGTCAGTTCACCCAAAAATCTAAATTCTGTCATTAATTACTCACCCTCATGTTGTTCCAAACCCCGTAAGGCATTCGTTCATCTTCGGAACATGAATTAAGATATTTTTGATGAAATCGGAGAGCTCTCTGACCCTCCCATAGACAGCAAGGATCCGAACACGATCAAGGCTCAGAAACGTAGCAAGGAGATCGTTAAAATAATCCATGTGACATCAGTGGTTCAACCGTGATGTTATAAAGCTACGAGAATACTTTTTGTGCGCAAAGAAAATAAATATAATGACTTTATTCAACAATTCGTCTCCTCCGCGTCACCCTATAGCGCCATTTTGGAGAGTATCAAAGCTCTCGGAATGCATCAAAAAAATCTTAATTTGTGTTCCGAAGATGAACGAATGCCTTACGGGGTTTGGAACGACATGAGGGCGAGTAATTAATGACAGAATTTAGATTTTTGCTGAACTAACCCTTTAACTCTTAGATGTTTCAGCACATCACTATCAGCACTAGTACTAGTGATGACTGGCTCGGTACATAACTAAACCACACTGACTCAAATGAATGTCTAATTCTCACTCTCTCTCTCTGTCTGTCTGTAGCCCAGCGTGTTGATCGTCAGTTATATCGAGTCTGGGAAAGCGGCTGCACAGTTCGGCTTCTATCAGCTGGTGGAATGGAAGCCCGATGACTCCATGATCGCAGTGACGGTGAGTAAAACACATCTGTCTCTCCTGTGAGTGCGCTTTATGAGGAGGTGAATCGTCTGTCTGTTATGTAGTGAGAACTTATCACATCATATCATCGTCCAGCAGGTGCCACTATGCTGCCAAACTGTTGCTATGCAGTTGCTAGGGTGTTCAGAGTGTGTTTAGGCTGTTGCTATGCAGTTGCTAGGGTGTTCAGAGTGTGTTTAGGCTGTTGCTATGCAGTTGCTAGGGTGTTCAGAGTGTGTTTAGGCTGTTACTATGCAGTTGCTAGGGTGTTCTGAGTGTTGCTAGGGTGTTATGCAGTTGCAAGGGTGTTCTGAGTGTTTTAGGCTGTTGCTATGCAGTTGCTAGGGTGTTGTGAGTGTTTAGGCTGTTGCTATGCAGTTGCTAGGGTGTTCTAAGTGTTTAGGCTGTTGCTATGCAGTTGCTAGGGTGTTCTAAGTGTTTTGGGCTGTTGCTATGCAGTTGCTAGGGTGTTCTAAGTGTTTTGGGCTGTTGCTATGCAGTTGCTAGGGTGTTCTAAGTGTTTTGGGCTGTTGCTATGCAGTTGCTAGGGTGTTCTAAGTGTTTTGGGCTGTCGCTATGCAGTTTCTAGGGTGTTGTGAGTGACTGACTTAGTCCCATAGTTTTGCGCACCTCTAGTCTTGTGTGTGGAGATTTATTTATTGATTGATTGATTAATTCGTCGTGCAGAACAGCGTTAATTTCAGCGCTAACAGCCCTAGTGAGTCGCCCACATCAGCGGTATTTTAAGGCATTATGGGAGAAGTTAGGAGGCATAATTACTCCAGTCACACATGTCCTTCACAGAGGAGACGACTGTTTAAATGTTAATGTGAGTTTGTGCAGTCGTGCGTCCGTCAGTCACTGCGTACAGTGAACAAAACGAACGCTGTGGTTTCTCTTTTGTTTGGCTTATAAATGCTGTCATTCATTCTGCTGACAGACAGACAGAGATGAGCAGAGAGTCTTTACACGCTCACATCTGCCAGTCGCACTCATACACCTTCACTCTGTTACACTACAATACTGTGCTTACTGCTTATATTAGGTTTTCTTGCATTGATCATCACAGCATCCTCTAAAATCTGGAACCCTTTCTTGATTTGGCTGATTAACCCTTTCCACCATCTGGACAGTTTATGTAAAAAATTAGTTTGTGCTTGGTGCTCATCTTTTGTACATTAAAATATACATTTTAAAGAAACACATTATTTTCTATTATTATTATTTATTATTATATTTTATATTTTTATATTCTCTATTTTTGTTTTTATTATTACCTCCCCCTTTATCCAAAAAACAATTAATTAATTTATTTATTTATTATATTGAATTATTTTTACATTTATTGTATTTCGTTTATCTTTTTTAAAATTAATCTTAATTGTAATTTATTGTATTTTAGTTGGTCTTTAAATAAACAGATTATTTGATTCTTTGTTGTTTTTTATTAAAAATAGTTTAAGGTTAAATTAATGTATCTTATTAAAATTTATTGTAATTCATTGTATTTAATTAATACATTTTATTTATTTATTTTAGTCATGTTGTAATTTTTTTTTTCTATTTTTAGAATTTCCTCCCATTTATTATTATTAGTACATTATTGGTACATTATTAAATTTTTATTTTAAATTATTGTAATATTGTAAAATAAATAAATAAATTGTAGTTAATATGTAAATAAACTGATTATTTCATTTTTACATGGTTTCTATTTACTTTCCTCCTATTTACATTTTTATTTTAATTTATGGAGATTAATTTTAATTATATATTTTTATTCGTTTTTGCACACCCTGTTATAGAAGGCAATTTCTGCCCATTTTAAATAAATCAATTTAATTATAAAAATGAAAATAAATAATGAAATTGTTCATCTGGCTTTCATTTTCATTTTTATAATTACATTTATTTAAAATTGGCAGAAAATGCCTTCCATATTTCATTACACCAAATACACAATAATGTTCTTTTTAGCAGCATCATATGACCCTTTTAAAAAAAAAATTATATTTATATTTTAGTGCACACACATGTAAGATAGATGTTTCTGGCCATTGTCTCAGTTTTTTCAGCATCTTGCGCCATAAGCAGCACATTTAAGATGCTGTGTCCATTTAGAAGTGTCCTGAAGCTGTATTTCCATCTGTGCTGTTGTTGTTGTGGGTCTGGTTCTGTCCATCAGTCGGGGTCAGTATCGTCACGCGTGTTCAGACAGCAGATCTCGGTGTTTCCACTGCCAGACGTCACAGCGGTGCATTACAGCACGACCGCAGGCTTGATTTCACAGCGCCGCTCTTCTGTGTCTGAATCAACAGTCAGTGTTTAGTCTTGATAGCAGTCGGTTTGGGTCATCAGGGAAGCACAGATGACAGCCGCTCACTGGCTTCATGCAGGTTTAACTAGTCGACTGACACGGTTTGGTTCTCCATCCTGCAGCTTCATTTACACGAGTCACTGATGAAGATGACATTAACACGGATCTGTTGCTTCTAAATGTCACGAATATAAATCACGCTCACAATGCAGCCTCAGCAGACTAGACATTTAAATATTCATTATGCATTACAATAATAGATGTGCTGTTTGCAGTTATAGTCCAAAAGAAATGTTAAACCTGTAATTATTGAGTTTAACACTGCTTTTGTTATCCAGGGTAGTAAATACTCCAGAATATTCCAGAGAGAAGTGCTCTCATTTCCTCTGTTTGTACTGTAAAGGACAATTAATTAATTTATTTATTTATTAACATAAAATAAATATTATAATTTATAATATATCATATCATCATAATAATACTAATAATAATATAAAACCATTTTCAATATAAAATAGTAAGTGTGTACAGTGTAAAGTGTGTATACTTTATATAAATAAAATAGTATTTAAAATTTTTTTTTTAAATGTGACCTGGCAACATGTTTCTGAATGCTTCTTCTAGCTGCATGGAACATACAGACGTGTTCTTCTCGCCGGTGTTTCATCAGTGCAGTTGTAGATGAAAGAGTACAAACGGTTTCTTTGATGTGCTCGTAAACTCTGATGCTCCACACCGAGAGCGCGAGTCTCCGAGGATTCTCTCTTGTGCTTTAATCTTTCGCTGGTGTCTGGTGAAAATCTCTTCACAGTGCAGACGTTTACAGAGTGAAGGCAGATAGCAGCGGCCCGCTTTGGGATGTTTAGTCTGTTCTCCGACACACAGCCTGTGAGCTTCTGCCGCTCCGCGCCGCACGCAGCTGATCGGTGGAGCATCATGGGTAATACTGGCCTCTCTGCGTACAAAATGTTCCCAGGAGTTCAGTGATTGGCTGGAGCTTCAGTGAACTTCATTCACCTCAGACAAACGTCCCACGGACAGAGCTGTGTGGGCTGCAAGTGATAAACCTGCATGAAGACTCCCACAGTCTTTCTCACCGCCTGCAGCGTCTTCATCTGCTGTCTAGTCTGTATCTCTTCTGATATTGTGTTAGTGGTCTTTTGGGCTGCAGAATTTGGCCAAAGTTTTATGAATACATGTTAATATGGCAATAATAATAACCTTTTTTGGGGTATAATAATAACCTTTATGTATACATTTTATTTTATTAATTGTAAAATATAATTTTATAATATATTTTATATGTATAATAATAATTATTATTATTACTAAATAAAAAATATAAAAAGTACAAAATAAAAATAAATAAACAGTATTAAAGACAAAAATATAATCTATAAAACGCAATAATATAAGAACAATTTTATTTTACATTACAGTACTAATATGTAATATTTTTGGCTTTTAATTTGACAGAAATGTTTGGGTTATTTTTTCCTTTGTTTGTTTGTTTGTCATTGGGCTTGACAATTTGGCCAACATTTTGTGACTATATCAGTATGGCTATAATAAAAATAAAAATACATATTAATTAATAGTAATAAAATTAAATAGTAAAAAAAATATTACTAAATAAAAAAATACTAAAAAATCAATAAAAAGAAATCCATAAAATAAAACATCACTGTTGTAATATTTCACTGTATTTAAGATGAAATATTATGATAGATTTATTTTAAATTACAACTGTATAATTACTATACTAATATTTATGTCTGTCATTTTTATTGAAATGTGTTTTGTTTGTTTGTTTTTGTTTTCTGTGGTTCTTGCTGTATCGTCTAGTCTGGTCTGTCTGTGCGCTGATACTGTGTTACTGATTTCAGACTGGTTTCGTGCTGAAGTTTAGTTCAGTATCCGTTGAATCTGATACGATTTGTTGTGGTTGCTGTGCACAGCATTGATTCATTCCGTCTCGTCGGTCAGATCGCAGGAATTAGTTTGGTTCCTGCAGGCGAATGAGGGATCGCTGTGATGACGATCTCACCTGACGACACGCTTTAATCAAAACCAGAGTGTTTCTGCTCTGGATTATTCACAGAGTGTTATTTCTGGAACTGAAACACTCGACACACGCATGTGTCTGACATCAGTTTAAACAAGCACAAAACAGATTTTATTCATGTCTGTGTTTGTGCATTTTCAGACGTGTTTTGGACTCATTTGTGAGATTGGAGTTTGTTTGCATGCGAGGAGCACGAAAGATCAGCAGAGAGGAAGTCAGAAACATGCAGCGGTTTGGTGGAGAATGGTGTGCGTCTCAAATCTGAGCTGGTTTGTTGTCACCACATCAACAGCTTGAGAACGGCTGACTGCAGCGTTTTTAACGTGTTTTGACGCTTTTATCTTCCTGTGTGTATGTAAATATGCTGAGCGCTCAACCTGATCTCTTCCTAAAAACCACAGCCACAAACACTTCATGATTATTCAAATGTGACGGTTTAAGTGCAGGTTAATTTTAATTATTATAACTTTAAAATATGAAACCACTGCCAAGTACAGCTTCAGAGTTGTTGCTTTATTTCAGCAACAATTTCCCTATTTCCCACTTATGAAGTCGTTATTACGAGCTCATTGCATTCAAACGATTTGTTGTCGGAAAGAATAAAATGTAATA